TGCCTCGGTAAGAAGCTTTCGAAGTTCCGGGGGTGGCTTAGCCAGTCTCCAGACCTGAACCCTGTAGCGTGGGTTCAGAGCTGAAACTCCGTGTTGCCCAGCGACAGCCCCAAAACCTGAAAGATCTGGAGAAGACCTGTATGGAGGAGTGGGCCAAAATCCCTGCTGCAGTGTGTGCAAACCTGGTCAACAACTACAGGAAACGTCTGACCTCTGTAATTGTAAACAAAGGTTTCGGTACCAAATATTAAGTTCTATTTTTCTATTGTATCAAATAATTATTTCATGTAATAAAATGGAAATAAATTATTTAAAAGTCTAACAATGTGGTTTTCTGGAATTTTTTAGTAGATTCTGTCTCACAGTTGAGGTGTACCTACAATGAAAATTACAGAACTGTCCATTCTCTGCAAGTGGGAAAACTTGAGCGTTATCAAATACTTATTTACCCCACTGTAATTTAGTTATCAGTAATTAAACATATTAGCCTTACACTAAATAACTAGTTGAACAAAAACATTTAAGGCCATAGCAGCTTAACGTGTCTATCTAATATTTTAACCGATTCTTCTGAGCAATACAAACTCCTCGCATTCATGTGTGAATGGAAAGCTCTAAAACATTTATCTTCTCTGCTAACCTGTATGAGGACAGTCTCTGCATCATCATCTGCTTCTGTCATCCCTGGCACTACAGAGAAGGAGACTCTGAAGCTGCTCTGCAATCCCTCCACCTCCACTGCCAAGCCTTGTTGCTTCTCTGCAGCAATAAATTCTGAGAGCTGCCTGGAGTAGCTCTGCAGCTGGGTGTGTCTGAACTGATACAGAGGCGTAACATATGCCAGCTTCCACTCTGTTTTCATCAGTATGTCCAGATGCTCGGGCCTCACCTTCTCCTTTCACAAGGGAAGATAGAAAAAAAAAATCATCTTCTCTATCTCGCTCTTTCTTCAGAAATGAAGATGTTGCTATTGATTATGTACATTTAATGAGAAACTGATTTAAAAACATGTGCAACAATTGCTTGGGTTGACTCACAGTGATATTATGTAACCTTGGAGCTCTTCTGCTGGTGTTGAGCCTCCGGGCTGTCAACGCTGGAGTTAAGGCGAATCGTGAAGAAGCACGTAAGCAGCTGCGATATGACTGCTGGTAGGTTTTATTTTTGCTCTTCTGAACTACACCACGGGTGGGGGGAGTCTTCACCCCACTGAAAAAAAATCACACAGATGGTAACATCAGTTTCCACTTGTGTTTACTGTTCCAGTTCAAGAAATTTCCACACTGTGGGATCAATAAAGTACCTACTCTACTCTACTCTACTCAGTTAATAACACAGGTAGTCATTATATTGCTCTTTGTAGAATTTACAGCATCATTGCAGGACAAATAATAAAGACGGTGTCAAAAGGATCCTGTTTTAAAGTTGTTGTGACCCTATTCTCTTTCGTGATGAAATTTGACACTTTTATCATCACGTATTATTGGGATTTTTGTAGAAAATTAAAAAAGTGGTAAGAGCTCTGATGCATGACTCACCCTGAACAGAACTACCTTGTTTCACTGCAGAAACAATGAATCTGTGCAAAAGATGACCTGCTTGCTGTGCAGAAGTGCAAAGGTTACAAAGGCTAGAATAAGGCCACACTGTCACAGCAGCGTTAGAGAAAACCTCACTTTCAACATAAAACATTCGGTACATATTGCCTGGCGATTTTTGTTTTATTTTATTTTGGAGGAAACCCGTTTAGAGAACGAGAAGAGAAAAAGCACAAAAATTTGGTTTAACATAATGAAAGTCGCTGTGCTATTTTTCATTATTTTACAGACTTTTTACGGATTCAGCACCCAATGATATAACGTTAGGCAAACCTGAGCGTGTTTTTCCATTATCAATTAATACAGTGCTCCTAGGGGTACAGGACGTTTGCCGAAACGAAAAGTGGTAGACATTTATTCGTCAAATGTAATGAATTTCAATTCACCAGATTTGTACATTGTACGAAGAGCAAAGCAACAATAAATACCACAACTATGGAATTTTATTGGCGTGATAACGGCAAGTTTCTGACCTAGAGGACACGTAATAAACAACTAATTAAGTTGTGCTGTTTTTGTCGGCAACTATTCGGTACAAAACAAAATTTTACTATAAAAGAAAGAGACTTTTACCTACTATGACCTCGTTCCATGTTTACAATGCTGCAATAAAAACCGGAAACAAATTTAAACATTGCGCTTTCCCATGAGTCTGCGCGGTTAGCCAATCACATCAATCCAAACAGGAAGTGGGCTTTTTTAAAGTCTTTTTATTTAACAACGCAAATCAGTACAAAATACTTTCATCACAAATTGTTGCAACAGATATATAACAGCATGCATTAAGAGGATGCATAATAT